TGGGTAGGCTGTGCTTGCTCTGCCGAAGAGGAGGCAGCCGTGAAAGAATGGTAATAGAGTGAGTTCATGAATGTGGGCGAGCTCGCAAAGATAATCCAGAGTTTCGGCAAGCTGAAGCAAGTGCTGCAAAGCAGTAGAAGGCTGAGGAAGAAGATCAAGAAGCTGAGGTAGAAGCTAAGAGATAACGCCAAGCAAGCAAGGAATGATTTTACCAAGCTGAAGCAGGCCATGCCTAGCCTGAGACTAGGGTCAGGGGTGCTGAAGTACAAAAAAAAAAAAAAAACGAAGGGCGAAAGTTAGGGAGCAAGCATCGACAAGTGTACAAGCAGCAGAAGCAGGTGGTGTGTTTGTGTTACTCTAGGTTATTCTTCCATGGTTCAGTGGCTCTATTCCAACGGTAGTTCCTCTACTAGTGCTTCAGTACTTTGTGTGCCATATGCAGCCAGCTGTGGTTTGATAATCAGATAACACTGGTTGCAAGCATGCATTTAGAAGAACAGAAAGGCATGGTGCTTTGCAGTAGACTGGGTTCCTGTTAGTGTAGGGGCTGACTATTTTTGCACAGGCCTGCAATGCCAACTGTCTCATTAACATTTGGGTAAAGGTTCATGCCATGGTTTTCAGTAAAAAAAATAAGAGTGGAGGGCCTATTATGCCTGTGCATGCTTGAAAAAAAAACTCCAAATGAAATAACCGGCTCTAAATCGCACCCACTGCTGGCAACTGCCATGTGGACAGCGTGCGTGTCATGTCATAAGCTTCATGGAGTGAAGCGATCATCTTCCACTAAAGTTTCAGCCACTGCACAAATAATTAAAATTTCAATGCCAAGTTGACGAAAGCTCAAGTAGTCCCATTTTACTCACAACTCACCATGAATATCGTTGACCAGAATACAGGCGATCACAGAATAAGTGGCTTGTTGCATCACGGCTTGTGAGTTTGCCCTTATTGCCACACTCTAGGGCCACTCACTTGTCCATTAAAATATTTGTTATAAATTAAGTGACCAACCTAGCTCACTGAAATTTCACCAGCTTGTATTAAACCACACAACACAGATTAAGGGTGAAAATTAGGTGCGCAGTCCCTTCAACTTCCTACCCTGACAACACCTTCGGTTTTCAACGTGAAGCACATTTACAGCTGGTGCTAGTAATCCTCAATGAATTCCCGTTGCTACCTCACTTAGAATAGAACCGAAAGGCTATCTTTCATCGCATCCTTTTTCTTTCGAAATGTTTGGCTATATGCTTTAGCAAGTCAATTTTTTTTCTTCATTCATGTATTACAGCATGGTTACAGTGGGTGTGACGTGCCGTGGAATTGATACCATGTCTGTGTTTATCGTTTCGTAGGCATAGGGAATTCCATCAAAACGTAAGGGATTACTTCAAGGAATTTAGGTACCGCACTACACTTGGAAACCTTATCTCGTGCTTTATCAGCGTTCACCTGTGAATCCTGAAGGAAGTTGCTGAAAACTCATTGGTTTATTGCAGTGCACAATTTCAACGTTAGGGCTTGAGTGTCCCAAATCTGTTGCAATGTGCCATACTTAGAAAAACAGACAATTGGGCAAGTTGGGCAGGCTTCATCCTAAAAGCAGCAAAGGATGAAAGAAAAGCCTAGTGGTCAGCACCCGTCTTGTTTGTGTAGAAAGTGCATAGCATGGGAACTCAACGATTTCCACTCGTTAAGTTCCTACTGCTCCATTTATCAAAAGTGTCAATAACAACAATCTTTCAAGTAAAATCTTGTTGGGGAGATTCGCAAACTCAGTCTTTGGCATGTGTGGTACTTTTTTCTTGTGCTTTATAGACTTCCTGCTTGTTATGGCAGTTGAGATGTGCACAGTCTGCAGTAAGTTCCGTCAAGTAGTTTCCCTCAGCAGATGTAGTGGCACAGCACCGACGAAGTGTGGGGGAGGGACATTCACTCGCTTGGTGAGACTGTGGCGCCGTCTCTTGCGCCGCCTCGCAGTCACGGTCGCAGGTTCCCTAAATGTTTTGTGTAGCATAAGCTACACTGGCCGAGGTCGAGAAGCCCGTGGTAATGGAGAGCAGTGCTGCGCATGCCCGAAGATTAGTGACATCACACGGGGCGTGGTTGGGGCACCAGAGAAGGCCTAGAAGCTCCTGGAGTTGTGTCACTAGTGGGATAGTGCCTTACTGGTGTGAGCCCGTTCGCTAGTCCGTCCATTGTTCCATGCATCTGTCCATAGCTCATGCCACATATATCCTGTCATAGCTGAGCTAAGCCACTGATAATTTCTCGTTTAGTCAATTAGTACTATTACTTGATTATTTCTGCTATTTCTGACCTTGTTTGTTCATTTCAATATTATTATGAGCAATACTAGGCTTGTATTGAGCACTTCATTGCTCAATACTAGGCTTATTGCTAGCCTGTATTGTGGGCGTCATCGTGCCTCATGAGATGCATAGATGGACGACAAGCAAGGCTCGTAGAATGCTCCACACTTAAAAGAGTTATCTTTGGCGCATATCTGTTTCTGCTACATTTGAAACTCTAGTTGGCTTTTGTGGATTTAACACCATGAATTTCTCATTACTCTTTTCTGCAGAACGGACTGCGCGAGAGAGTACTCTGCAGCAGCATACAGAAAAACTGCGAGATCACGAGGAAGAAAACAGCCCAGCAGCCTGGGGAACTCGGGATGGTGCTCGAAGGAGTATTCGGCTGCAGTGTAAAAAACGTCTAGATTATGATGAAGAAACCTACACTGCAGCCGTGGGAACTCCAGACAGTCTTGTGAAGGAAAGCAACACGGCAGCCGTTGGATCTCAAGACAGTGCCCAAAAAAGTACTCATCAGCAGTGTAAGGAAACGCAAGATCACAAGGAAGAAGGCAGCATAGTAGCCATGGGAGCTGAAGACAGTGCCTGGAAGAGTACTCAGCTGCAACTTGAAGAAAAGCTGCAAGAGCGTGCAGCGGAAAACAGCAGAGTAGCTATGAGAACTCAGGACAGTGCCCCAAGTGAACAGCTGCACAATCTCATTGCCAAATCTCGAATAACTAGGAGACTAGTCATTTCCTTCTGCAGCAAGCATCGTCAAAAAGTGTCCATTGGCATTGGAACAACACCTTACTGTCTGGTCAGCAGTAGCACGCAAGCCACATGTAAGCTTGTCTTTTTTGCCATATTGTGGGAGGGTGTCTAAATAGGGGTTTAAGTAATAATGCTTTGTGGACATCAACGTCACAAACGACGATATGGTTATGAGAGTCTCCGTAATAGAAGCCTTTAGAAATTTGGACTGCCTGGGTTTTTTTAAGATGCACCTGAATCTAAGTACACACACCTGTAGCGCTTTGCATCTATTGAAATGTGGTGGGGATTAAGTCCCATGATCTTTGGCTTAGCAGTCGAAGACAACTATCGGCAGTGACATAGTTTTTTTAGACGAAATACGATGGGTTGGTCACAGGAGGTGTATCGAATTATATACTTCTAGCAGTTTTCATTTGATAGTTAGCATTGTTAGAAGTGCATTCTTTATAATGACGATCGGAAAGTATTCATAAAATCGAGGAACAACACAAAAAGGCATAAATTGAGCACTGCAAGCCAATAAATGGGTTCTTCAAACTTTCAGAACTCTTCGGAGGGTGAGCATGATCATTGTAGAGTTGAATCACTCTGGCTCCTTGACTGACAGGCTGCTGCATTACACAAGCTCTGATCTTATGTTGCAATCATAGAGGTCCACACTTTTGTCTATACTAATGCAGGAGCATCGTGCTCAGGACTGCATGGGAGACATCTGCAGATGACATGTTGCTTGAGATAGGCCACGCTTGAGCGTGCGCATCCCCCAGTGACGTGACTGCCTTGCATTTTTGCTCTTAGCTTATTACTGCCACAGCTGCAACTCTCGTGGACGTCAAAAGTATTGTAGGTGACGTAGGAAAAATGTGGGGAAGTGCCCTGCTTGGTGCCCGATTCAAGCTGTGTTGTATGCGAGACTTCTTTTGGTTAGCCATGTCATCGTTCCAGTAGTCCATTGCTGATATATTGCATGTTTTAATAGTAGAGCTGTTAAGGGTCAATATTGAACTGCTGGGAGCGTTAACTCTGCGCAGCTGGATGAGAGCTAAGCGAAGGGAGAAAAGAAGCATGGCATAGCGTACCAAGGCAATGGCTAAGAGAGGGAGGGAAGAGAGAAAGCATAGCATAGGCAATCAAGGTGAGTGATGTGGAAAGGGAGTGAGGAGGAGAGGTGTAGGTGACGTGAGCAAAGCCAAGGAGAGCCCATGAGAAGTGTGCGTGATATCCTTGTCACACAGCCACCACCCAACTCTGTTAAACTCTGTCAGTGTAAATCTCCTCTAGTGAGTTCGACGGAGATGGAGTTGTGGCAATGTCACACGGCAATGATAAGGTTGTAATAGTTTCTATGAGGGGCCTTAGCTGGCGCTGTTTGATTTTCGCAGAAGTATGCTAATTTCATCTCTAGTTGCTTTATTTGTACATTTTAGTTTTTTTATTGAAATAGAAAATAAACGAAATTCTTGTCATCATTAATGGACTTCTGTTATGCAGTTTTTACAAAAACACAATAATATGTAGGGATGAAGCGAACAAAGCATGAAAAATGATTTGAAATGAACACGCATTTGCTAAATGTAGCGACGCTGGCCAACTTGTGCTTAATGCTATGTTTTGTTATGATTGCGCCGTACTCGACCACTAGTTGTTTTTGTAGACCATACATTAATTAGGTCGGCTCCCATTACCTATTTCTGCAGCCGCCGAATCGGGTGACAACTGCACAAACGAAATATTTTTAACATCCTTTGTGAAATGCTCCATTTACTTTTGTTTGCGTTAGGGCCGCATCTCCCTTGTCCTAAGGATGAGGGAGTTAAACGGTGTTCGCGGGTGCCCTTATGACAGGGGTATTAGACACATTTGTTTGAAGAGCGGTGAGATGAGAAAGGGAGAGCTCTCACCAAGAGATGGTTGAGAAGCACTAAGGAGAGAGAGAGAGAGAGATGGCACTGTACTGCTGATGCTTTTTGGGGAGAAACCGTTTGGCAAAGACTATGATGAGGATGAAAAAGGAACTGTGTCCGGAAAAAACATTGCTCCAAGGGAAAGAGCAGGAAACAGCTAGGGCGTGGTTCCAGTGACAACATGGTCATCCTAAGCTCCAAGCAAAGGAAGTCAAGGCTAAGCAACAGCAAAAAGCCAAAGATTCTGAGTTTCAGTCTTGGGAGGTGATGTCACGTTGCTCGCAGACCAGGTTCATTGGGAAGAAAATGTTTTGGCCACGCAGCACCGAAGAGGATCAGACTCTAGCTTGAAAGTTCTGGAAAACTTGGTTTGCCAAAAAAGAAGTGGCTGCAGCCAAAGCCAATGAATGGATTAGTGGCATTGCGTCATTGCTATACCCTTGCATAAATAATAAGTAGTAAATTTGTCAAGGCAATTTGTCAAGGTCAATGAATTTCAATGAATTTTGCTGGGTACATTCCTTTGCACATTCCCACAGACTTGAGAGATACGCTGATTGTTTGCAAATGAATTTTAAAGATTGCCTTCACACGATAATTTGACTTGCCAGCACTATTGGCAACAATCGCTGTGTGACGTCATGTTTAATAAGTCGGTGCAAGTGACGCAGCCAATGACATCACCAACTTTGGTCCCTACATCATTTGCTGTGCTGGCCACAAGGCGAAGGTGGCAGTGTCTGGCATGGAAATGCTTCCTTCCTTCATCCATAGTTTTTGGCCGGCCCTTCGCGGATTTCGCGCGTGATTTTCTGTTCCTTGTGGATGGGTGTTGTGTCGTGAGCAGCTCAAACCACTTATACAAGACGCAGAGAGTGTGAGTGTGCTATCACAGCTTTCCAAGTGACAGTTCTCTGCGTAAGAAGTTGATCAGTGTGATCAGGCAGGATATTTGGTTACCGAACAAAACGACACGCGTGTGTCCTGATCATTTCTCGTCAGACTCATATATGTCTGAGTCACCACTGTCCTATAGCTCCGAGGCACTGTCAGTCTCAGATATGTCAGCCGATGCTCGGAGCGCTCCGAGTGTCTGCTCGTTCCGGCTTGCACAGTTTTCACTCTCCAAGCCGGTGGGACAAGTATGCCTTGTACGATTTCCGATTTTTGCCAAATAGCACGCCATACACTTACAGTGCTCTCGATTGGGTTTTGGTTTCTCTATAGTGCCTTTTTGCTTATTAAAAATTATTTTCGAATTTGCTGAGCATTTCAGCTATCAGGCACGTGACAAGAGTGTCTCATGAACACAGAAGCACCATTACCCTGATATGGCCAAAAAATCGCCGGAGTTGGATGTTGAAGCTAAATCAAAGCAATCAGCTCCGCTGTTCAATATTGTTCATTATGTTAAGTCAGTGAAGCAGTGGAAACTTCTTTTTTTTTGCTGAGCTACACCGTTGACAGTACCACTGATGGCTGAAAGAATTGTGGCTGCAGTGGCAAACAGGGAAGGAAGACATAAGACAGGCACATCAATGGGGTCATCGCATGCTCAGATTTGGCCTACCTCAAACCACATATCTCTAGATGTCGCTCGTGCAGCATCAAGTGCAATGCTCGAGCGTTCTAGAAAAGCGTGTTGGCCTCTATACTGCGCCCTCAGGGAGGAAATTTATTGCACTGTTTATACCAATATTTTGTTTATATGAGTGCAGTCAACATCCCAAAATGAAATACACTCACACCTCGATATAACGAAATACTGGTTATAATGAAGTAAAACAAAAATAGTCTTGCAATAGATATAGTGTTAGGAATGAACCTTTATAAAGAATTTTTGGATCTAGCTTACTTACTGTGTAAGATACAGCTGTGTTATAATGAGGTTTGAGTTTATTTCAAAAATAATCACATTTACAGTTTAATTTAAGGTTTCATTGAATGCGATTCAATTCAAATACTCTACAACTTCGCTTGCCTGCTGCGGTGATCTCTGTGCTTTATCCTGTGTGCTTTTAGGGGTGCGGAAAGATCAAAGCACCAGCTGCCTTTATACAAAGCGTTCCATCGGCACGCAGGCGTTTTCTGAATATTACCAAAGTAAGCTCACCCACACCCGATTGTTGTGACAGTGTTAAAGCCTTATTTATTAAATTCTAGGGTCGCCAAATGAGGATCCTCCCGTCACTGAGAAGAATGTAAATGCCACACCAATGAGCTGCCTGTCCTCATATTCTACCTGTTCACGAGATAACAAGCTCGTCATGCCTGGCATTAGCCCACCAATGATGGTGAATGGACGTAAAAGTACATTTGCCTATTCTAACTTGTACCAGTGGTCTCATTGCCATATGTGTACTTTCAGCGCTGCCAAAAGGGGGTCCCACTGGCACCAAGAAAAATGTTGCTGCTCGACAAAGGGGAGCTTCATGCTTCAATACGAGGACTGCAACTGCAAGCGTTTGCGTCATGCCTGGCATTAGCCCACAAAAGGCGGTGAGAGAAGGTATACATACGTTTGCCTATTTTCACTTGTACTAGCAATCTGATTACTTTTTTTTTGCGAACTTGCAGGGCTGCAAAAAGAGGGTCTTGCGATCACTGAGAACAGTATTGCTGTAAAAGCGAGTGCAGATCCATTCTATAACAAGACTTCACCAGTTAGCATTTGCATCATGCCAAGCGTTGGCACTCATACGAAGGTCCAAGAATGCAAATGTAAGTTTGTTCATTCTTCTTTGTGCTAGGAATTCCAATACCTTAGTTCTGTACTTTCAGCGCTGCCAAGAAAGGGTCTTTCCATTTACAAGAAAAATACTGCCGTTGTACCGAGCAGGTCATTGGGCTGTAGTACCAGTAGTTTCCCAGCAAGCATTCCCGTCATGCCTGCCATAAGCACTCAAACAAGGGTGACGGACCGCAAGTGTAAGTTTGCGCTTTGTTGTTTGTGCTATTAGTCTTAATGCCATAGTTCTGTACTTTCAGTACTGCCAGAAGGAGGTTCCATTGTCACCCAGCAAAATGTTGCAGTTGCATCTCCGTCTTTCAATGCCAGTGCTTCAGCATCAGGCATTTACATCATGTCTGGCATTGGCGCTCAACCGAGGGTGCCAGAATACCTATGTAAGTTTTCCCATTTTCATTTGTGTTTGCCATCTCAGTGCTTTGGTTGCATTATTGCAGTGATGCCCGTCATGAATCCTTCTATGACAGTGGAAAATGTTAGACTGCCAAAGAGCCATCTACCCTTCAGTTCAAGCATTTCACCAGCGAAAACTTGCATCATTCCTAGCGCAAGCACACTAGGAGAGGTGTCAGAGCATAAGCGTAAGCTTGCCCATTCTCGTTTGTACTTATGATCTCAACACATTGCTCGTATGCTTTCAGTAACGACGACTGAAGGCCCTTCTATCACCAATGTGTATTTTGCTGGTAGACAGGGTAGCTGTATGTCCTTCAATACCAGCACTGCTGCAAAAAACATTTGCTTCATGCCTAGCATTGGCACGCAAGCACAGCTGGCAGAATGCAAAGGTAAGCTTACCTGTTTTTTTTCCCATCCCCTTCAGCAGCAGCGTGTACAACTGTACTAATCAAACTTTGAGACATGTCACACATTGTGTGTTCATTCGAATGGCTTGAAACGTGGTGTTTATATTTCTGCAGGCTTCCTGAGTAGACAAATACCGGTCATTTAGCTTCTTTGTGCTGCGTAATGCTGCAGAGTCTCACTTGGCTGGCGACACCACCATGTGCTATGACCAGTTGACATGCCATGTTCCAAGATCCACGTCAAGCATTACAATGAAAACTGTTATGAGATCACAACTCAGATCTCGCGTGGCGCCACAGTTGTCTGCCGCATTGGCGTGTCCTTAACCATTTCGCACAAAATAAGGAAAAAACCTAGTTCCAAGGACACCCAAGGTTTGTACGCGGGTCCGCTGCGTGCCAGCCCAGTATTCTTCCACTGAGCCACGTCGTTGCTAGGGACTTCTTTGAAAGCTTGCCTTAGGCATGCTTGATATCAAGAAAGGAATCGCGTTAATATGAATAATAAAACGGCAAAAAAACAACCAGGCGTCACACAATGTGGATAGCGTAATGAGTGAATCATCCAATTCTCCAACCCATTACAAAAGCTTGTTCTTGATCACGTAATCACGGTGGCACTTGCCCACTTCAGGCCTAGTTCCTCATCGTCGTCAGCCACTGCATGAACAATTGACACAAAATTCCTTGCAAGTGTTTAGCGGATACCACACTTCTCAAAAGAATGATGAGGGTGGCATAGCAAATGCCGGCCTACTACCCAGGACTTATTAGTGCTGTAGTGGGTACCCAGCAAGTGTGCTTGTAGCAGTTACCCAATGAGTGTTTAAAAAAGGCTCTGAAAGGCCGCTCCTCTAGCTTTCGCTGTGACTGTGCTGCGCCTTCTGCGCAGGCCTGGCATTTTTTTTCTTCGCCTGTAATGAATGCAATCAAAAAACAAACTGTGCTTGCACTTGAACCAAATATTTCATTCCTTTTATGCAAAAATTTATGCTAGCTGAATGAATAAGTAGATAGTTAATTACATGCCAATCAACAATGTTAATTACTGAAACTCATGCAAAACAAGCCATTCCTTTGTTTTCTTGGAATATAATACTGAGTGCCTTCGAATCATGCCACGCTAGTTTGATGCATTTGCAGACAGTGGATCATAATTTGCATCTGAAGGGGCTATACTTGCAATATGAATGTTTTTAATCACATATTTCCAGAGGTGCCCATGATGGGTCCTTGCACCATCATGAATTATGCCACAGCTCCAGCCCACGCTTGCATTTCAAGAGATCACGGCAGTGGCACACACAAAGATAATGAAACATCACGGTAAGCGTTGCCATTCTTAGCATATTTATGCTTACCATAACACTCATTTATCGAGGCTGTTTTCAGGTGCTCAGGCAGTGCCATTTCTAGCACACAAGGCAACTTAAATGTGAGCTCATGGATGTCTGCCTCCTCTGTGGCATTACAGTTATACTTTGAGGAATGTAGGCAAGCTGAAGGTTCAGTTTGTTTGTTTCCTACTAATATATGCACGTCTACTACAGGTGTGGTCCTCCTTGTGCTGTGTAAATCTTTTTTCCTGCTTGTTGTTATGTGGTAATCAGTCCGTATTTTGTCACTGGCTTTCATTAAGATATAATTGAGCTTGTTAACATGACTTGCTCTATTAATGAACGGCAATTTGGCAATCGAGAGTAGGTTTATTGCTACTTGATGCAAGATGTATCAAAGCACCGTTAGTTCGCTGATTAGTTGGCTTTATGTTAAATACTTCACGGCCATGCAGAATGCTTGGATTCACTTTTGGTTTGACTAAACTTCTACCACCCTCCCCCCCCCCGCCGCTTTTTTTTTTCATCGTTTGTGACAGCCGTGATACACACTGATAGCAGATGACATTGCCTCTGAAATAGGCTGTTGTGAGCTCATAACTTGTGGTCATATCACTTTGGTGCAGATGCACAACTGTCCTATTTTGTTGGGTATTGTGTGAGGGGGATTGGAGCCCTTGTAGCTGTGCATAGCAAGAAATGCACCGAATAAATCATTGTTTTGATCAAAACTTAATGTTCAATGAAAGCTCATTGCAGTGATGGTAAAATTTTGCTGGCAATCGAGCACATTAACATGTTGGGCGGGATGGGGGTGGCCTTTGCCGCCTTCAATCAACCAATTGCTGCCTGTAATGTGGTTGGTGTCGCACTTAAATTTTGAGCTCATGTTTATCTCTCAGTAAACAGACCTCCTGTTAAGAACATATCTTTTTAGTATCTTCAGGTTCCATTTAATGAGAGTCTACTGTATACACAAACTTGTTGCCTTCTCTGAAACTTCATTGACAAGCTGGTTATGCCTGAGATGGTGATAACAATAAAGAAAAAGTACACGATGAAAAGGTGTTGTCCTCTTGACTGATGCCTGTGCTCAGTGGCTTTGTCAATAGCAAAACTTGTTTGGTCATGCTTATTTAATTGCCGGTGTTCGGGCACCTGTTTAAAGTGGCACATGCATAACATTTGATAAGTAGTGAATGCATTGAGGTTTTTGTTCAGTTTTGCAGTTTTTAACACTGTAGAGAGCAGAAAAAAAGAGGCTTGTGCTTTGCTTTCTTATGCATATCTGCTCTTGAGTTGTTTCCTTAGGATTAATTCTGGTTTAGCACATTTAAAAAATGTGTTTTTTATAAACGGAGAACGGCAGTATGGTTTTCAAGACTAACACTATACCATCAGTGCTAGTGCACCTTATGGTGTTGCATGGTGTTGAGCGCATGCATGCTTAGCAAGTAGTATGAATGTGTGTGATATAAACTTCGTTCTGAGCGTGCCAACTTTTTGACATTTGTGCTTATGCTGTTACCATAGGTGAGCGTAGCAAGCAAGGTCGACAGCTGGGCTAGTTGGTATGGTTCCATATTATTCAAAGTAGCGCAAACTATAGGACAAGAAGTACCCACTTCAAATGCTTATTCGCAACTTGCTAGTTTATTAAAAGACGCATGAAAAGAAAAGACACAAAAAAGTGACCCAGACGAACTGCGTAATGACTGCGACGTGATAATCTTGCCAAAAGCGCAAAGGCAAGAAAAGGCAAACAAGCCAAGGAAACCACGATCGGTAAACAGTTTTAATGCCAAATATGCATCAACAACGTATGACAGCAAAAAAAAAAAAAAAAAGAGAAATAACAAAACAAATCAAAAGAACTGACGAAGCTACAGTTATGTTCAGACACAGGGATGATGTGGCGAGCGAAGTTATGAAGGCACTTTCATTATGAACCCTAGAGAGTTGCATCAGTTCTTCTTCAGTGGCGTTGTCACGAACCGAAATCGGTTTTTTGGATGCGGGGTAGACAAATGCTCTTGGGCTTTTTTGAATTGTGTTTTGTTGTTTAGTTTTATTTTTTATTTTTTGTCATACCTTGTAGCTACATATCCTGCATTTTAAATGTTTACTTTTTCTTGCCTTTGCGCTTTTGGCAAGACTGTCAGGTGGTAGCGATTGTGCAGTTCGTCTGGGTCACTTTCTTGTGTGTTTTATTTTCATGTTTTTTTAAAATAAACTTGTCAGTTGCGATTAAGCGTTGCAAGTGCCTACTTCTTGTCCTTTAGTTTACGCTACTTTGAATAATATGGAGCGTAGGAAGAACCAAAAGAGAGATATTGAGGCTTTTTAAATTAACAGTGAGACAGTGATGCTCAGCAAAGGCTTCATTTTTTTTAACTGTCTGCATCGACTAGACGATTCATTTGTGACATTATTTGGTTGCCCTGTTTTGTACGATTGAAGTGATGTTGGTGAAGCAGCAGGGCAACTTTCTCCTTAAACAGCATTCAATAGCACCTGAGAGAACATACGGGCGGGGTTTGTGGTGAATGGAACACAATTCCAGTGATGTGATAGATGGGCCAAACGTGCCAGACTGTGCCAGGAGGTAAAACCTGCTACATTTTTGGTAAAAATTTTATAATTTCTACAGAGCGTGCGCCAAGATGTCATTCCCATTCCGCTGTCTTCTGGTGAAAATGTTAAGGGAACTTCGCACTAGGGGTGCCAAGCTTGAAGGAAGTGTGCAGCTGGGCAGCTTTAATTGTTTCTCTTAGGTTTTCCTTCCTCTCCTCTTTTTTTGTTGTTTCTTTCTATTCATTCCTTCTCTTTATTTCTTTCTCTTTCTATCTTGCAATTATTTCTCTTTGCATTTGGTTCTCGTTTTTGTTTTTTACTTTTACACTTGGTTTTGCCTGGGAGTGTTGCGGAACACAGTTCTTGTTTTTTTTTTGCTGATGACTGCAAGTGATCTTTATCAAGCTCAAAAAACAACACGAAGACTTCTTTATGGTGTGAGAGCGCGCTCCTTTATGACTGTCAAGGCGCTCGAAGAATAAGAGGAAGAAAGCTTCTCCTTGGCACGAGTGAGTGCTCAATATGCTACACGTGGAGCATTATGCCAAGTGATAGCAGCATACAACAGCGTGGCCCCCAAAAGTGCCCTGCTCTTGAAGGAACCCTGAACGTGCCTGCAAACGTATGTTTTAAGTAATAATTTGAGAATACTGACATGTACTATGTAGTTGCTCCACACAATACTTCCAAGCAATTCAGACTGACTCATACTGCGCACAAAGCTTTTCCTACTATGAGGCTATACTGTACTTCGTTATTAGGCTCAGTAAAATAGCTACATCAGGCATAGCCTGCTGCTTGGCGACTGCTTCACATGAAATAGATTTTTGTAATGCGTGGGATATGCCAGATTTACGCTTGTGTACTCTGCCTGCAGGTCATCTATTGGAGGCGGCCTTATCAGCTGACGCTAATCACCAAAAAAGATGCACGACAGTTGAAGGGGCTGGCTGGCAATTCTGCCACTGGCATCCTATTCTGCCTCGCGCATTGGTCACATATACACAACCACAGATGTCTTGTTCAACTGAATCATGGACATAAGAGGTACAGTCAAGTCTAAGCAATCATTACTACACTTGTTCCTACGAGAGTAAATATTGATTTCTATGCTTATTTAGTCTGGTAGAAACAAGCAGAACATGTAGCAGCACTAAGAATTTGCCATGTCTGTTGCAGGTGTCCTGGTCGGCTGGCAGAGCAGCGCTTGCAGCAAATACAGTGGTTATTGTCTAGCTGCCCTACAGATGCGGTGAAAGGTCAGTCTAGGGCATATGAAAGACAGGCAGCCTTCCTCAGCGGCACCAGAGGACAGCTCAGCATGTTGAACTGCTTGTGGTGTGACTTGTGACTTAACAGTGCTTATAGCACTTACAGTGATGACAGCCCGCCTGCTTCGAAGACACAGAAATTCTAGGATAGTGCATACGAAGGACAGGAGGCCATCCTCAGTGCCACCGCGAGACAATTTGGCACGTCGAACTTATTGTGGCATGACTTGTTGTGACTTGAAGCAGTTTGTCAACACAGAGGGATTACAATAGGCTTTTTGTTCATCCCTCCTTCCCAAAACTTACATTGTGTCTGTACGGCACTTGTTTTTAATTATCCGGTGTCACACCGTTGTCTTCAGTGCCATGCTATCCTACAGTGCCTATCACCAGGTTTGAGCATAGAATAGACAAGCACTGTGCATAAACACACATGACAATGATAATGTTTCAAAAAAACTGCAAAACTGCTGTGCAACGCCCTGATGGCTAAACTTCCAGCAGAATTCAACATGTTCTCCTTAAAGGGTCCCTGAAACGGTTCTTTCACATTCTGTTTTTGATTAGACCACTACTGGAGCAAATCATTGGCACCAGAGTTCAATCGAAATGCCCATTATTAACGGAGCTACGAGTACTGAAAGTACCCTCCTTTCTCGCTCCGCCTTTCACATTCAACTGCCCTCAACTCTTCCTTCGAGCACTCGAGGCTAAGCTCCGCCTTAGCGCGCCTGTGTCACGATGTGGTGTGAGACCGCATACGCCTAAATCCCGCCACCGATCTGATACCGGCAGCCTGTGCTGCGCGTTCCACAGCCAATCAGTTCAGCTGAAAACTATTATATCAGTGGGGCAGAGCGTGTCCCTGTATGGTTGGTTCAAAACGCGTTTGGTCGAGTCGCAGCGATCTGGAGCGATGTGCAGCTTTAAAGTGTTCTAATAAATTACACACGTTACGCAGGAAGCTCAAATCAGCTCTAAATTATCCTTGGGACTTGGTCTACGGGCCCAATGTGTTTGTAAAAAGATCATCAAAACCGTTTTAGGGTCCCCTTAAAGAAGTCGTATCAGGAGCAAGACACAAATGTTCCTGCGTAACTAGTGCTGTTTGTAATATTAGCCACAAAAAACTTACCTAATTTAATTTTTGTCAAAAAGAGATGATCTGACCAGAAGTCAATTGCCCTTTCGATGAGGCATTTCTTAGTCATATATTAGCTAGACCAACTTGCAAAGTAATGACCCAGATCAGTTAAGCGAGTTATAGTCATGAGAAAAATGTGCGGCATAAAATGGAAGTAGTTCAGAAAAAAATGTGTACATTCACATTGCTGGGGAAGGGAAGTGCACCACAAGCAGAAGTCGAATACATGACGGAAGTGGAATTTTTACAACATGCAGTCGATCTTGCATATATCGAACTTGCACAAAACTGGGAATTAGTTCAATATTTCGATATCCAAAGTGTCAGTGTGCAGGTTCGCTTCATCACACTGCCTCATCATAATCTGAGAAAGATGATTTCGCGACAATAATACACGGCATCCAGCATGTACTGTGCCTTGTCAATGCATGTTGAAGAACACGAGGTGGTGAAAACTTTTGGAGCCCTCCACTATGGCGTGCATCATGTTATCACAGCTCTGTCTTGTGAAACCCCAGATAATGTTAATAAAATGCAGTAATATTGAATTGCGCTTTTTTGTGGTTAGTAGTTGGGGATGCGAGGTTATATGCATGGGTGGATTATATGCGAGCTAATGCAGTATTGGTGTAAATAACGCATCAGAAGGTTCACATGCAGTTGTGCACACTGTCAGGTGCCAGAAATCTCTGTAGAACTTTTCATGGCAATGAAGAGAAAGCGATGGAGGCGAGGTTTCTGGATATGTTGGGTTTGATTTCGTTTTTAAAGTACATGGGCAACTTAGGCCATCCTGCACCAAACGCATGGTATGGTTCTCTTAAGGGGGGACGCGCCCTTTGAAAACCGAAAAATCGCGAAAAAGTCGATTTTTTGAAAACCGCATACTCGGGCAGTATGACTCATAAACTGCCTCTACTGTAAATATCAATGTCTAATTCATCGCGAAAGTACGTCAAATAAATTTTATAACATGCCGCGGCAGCCGGCAAGCGGTGAGCGAGCGCCAAAAATACCCCAACTTCGCGCGCTCGCCATTTCCCCAACCGCTCGGCCGATCGCCGCCATCTTGATGTTGTTTTGCTCGTGAATTCTTGCGCTTTTTTTTTTCGCCACCCGCGGCAGTGGCGGTGGCGCTCCGAGGTGGGAGTCGCTCACGATTGGGGGGCTCGCGGAAGCTTTCGAATGTCCCGCTGCCTGGATGCGAAGCCGCGATTGGACAAAGCACGCGCCTCTCGAGGGAATGGGGGAACGCTCGGCTCCTATTGGCTGCTGCGCGCGATGACGTAGCTGCTTCTCCAGCATGCGCCGGCTCGTCGTCTGCACCGGCGCTTGCAATGCCGGCGTTCTTTGTGTGCCCAGTTTGCCATCATTCCGATCGGTCGTCACACGTGCTCCTCTATCTTTCACCGTCTTCACGAGACGATCTTCTACCGTCTTCACGAGACGATCTTCTACCGTCTTTACGAGACGATCACTACCGTCCTCACGAGACGATCTTCCGCCGTGTTCGCGGGACGCGGATTGTTGCGCTCACGGTCACGATGGGCATTTCGAAGTTCAAGACTCGGCACGCGTTCGGTTCAAGAAAGCGTCAGCTGAAGCTCGTACGCATGGCGAAGCTCACCTGCACGCCCACGCGCGGCGACAGTTGCACCGATGCTTCCGCTTCATCTTTTCAAGACTTCTACACCATCGGCACAAGGATCCGTCGTGACGAGTGAGGCTGGTGTTTCGTGCTCAAGTGCGCCTGGTGTGTCGGGCTCGCCAACCGCATTGATTCCGGCCCCGAACAGTGAGACCGCGTCGTCGACTGTACACTTCCAAACACGTTTTCGGACGTGCGAGGAGTTGGCGACGGCGGAGAGAGAACGTGCTGCTGTGCAACGAAAGCTTGGCGCTATGCCAGCGACCGAGAGGAAGTTTCAAGCGATGATGCCTGAACCCGAAGCTGCCACCGCTACGACCGAAGGCGAGAGATATTTCCTCGTGCAAGGGGATGCCCTTAGCGACATGCTGTCCAAGACCCTGTGCCCGCGCTGCCTCGCGACCGGGATGAAAGTTCAAGAAGGCACCCAGCTTGGACTTGCCACGAAGCTTGAGCTGGTATGTCCACATTGTGGAATAGTTTCAAGTTCGTGGAGCTCTGCTCGTCAGAACGAGTCAAGGGCCTTCGACGTGAATATAAGAGCCCTTACGGCCATGAAACAAATAGGGAAGGGACAGACAGCCCTCAACGACTTTTGGGCAACTATGAATGTTTCCCACTGTGGCCTGCACCACAGAACTTTCCAGAGGCACCTGAAGCAATTCAGAGAACCACAGCAACAGACCCTGGATAAATTCTATGAAGAATTGGCTTCTGCTGTGAAAAAGGTGTACAAGGAGATGGACCCATCTTTCTGCAAGGACATTACAGTGAACTATGATGGCACGTGGCATAAGCGCGGACATACATCTCACATTGGAGTTGGTGCAATCATCGAGTATCACACAGGCCTCATCTTGGATGCTGTAGTTTTATCGAATCAGTGTGTCGGCTGCCAGGTAGGACCGAAGCCTGAAGACGAGGGCTATGCAAGCTGGTTGAAGCACCATGCATGCCAAAAAAACACTGATGCCAAGTCTGGGAGGATGGAGGTTGAAGCAGCTGTAACTCTGTTCTCACGTTCACTGTCCAAGCATAATCTCCGGAATACAACCATTGTATCTGATGGGGACAGCGCCACATTCTCTGCCCTTCAACAAGACAATGCTTATGGGCTAGTCCCTATTGTGAAAGAAGAATGCTTGAACCATGTCCGGAAGAGGATGGGCACAGCCCTACGTAATCTTGTGCAGAAAAGCGAACAGGCTCTGGGAGGGAAGGGCAGATTGACAAAAGCCCTTATTGATAAACTCACAGGCTATTATGGCTGGGCACTGCGGAACAATTCAAACAATGTGGCTGCAATGCAGCGTGCAGTGATGGCGTCATATTATCACGTCACCTCAACTGACGAGGATCCTCACCATGACTTGTGCCCGGAAGGTGCAGACTCGTGGTGCCGTCATAATGCCTGCAAGGGGAATGGCGTGCCACCTCCAAAGCACAAATACAATCTTCCGGGCTACGTTGCAGAAGCGCTGCTGCCAGTCTACCAGCGCCTTTCGCAGGCTTCTCTACTGCAACGCTGCCTGGGAGCAAAGTCGCAAAATGCATCGGAGTCATTCCATTCTGTCCTATGGTCCTTGATGCCCAAGGAGCAACATGCATCATTGATTGCTGTCGAGACAGCACTGCATGACGCAGTTTTGCGGTATAATGCTGGCTGCTACAGGGCCACCCAAGAGTTGTCGTCATCAGTGGGACTCACACCTGGCCACCTAACCATTCAACGAGCTGCGGAGAAAGACTCTCTGCGTCTGAGAAAGACTCAGAAATGGATGAATGAGAAGCAGAAAAAGCGGCAAAGAAAAAGAGAGCCTAAGGACACATCTAGCTACTCTGCAGGGTCATTTTAGACCATAATAAATGTTTGAAACTTTCGAAGTCAATTTTCTCAGAATGACTTTTTTGGCCAGTGAGGCTGCTTAGTCAGGTGATCTCTCTGGAACTGCTGGTCTGATTTCTATCAGGTTTTTTTTATTATGCACCTTAATAAATTGCCCAGGGCAAGACAAGCCCGCTTTTTCAATTTATTGTATCTGTAATTTGTAATAATTAACTAAAACTTCATTGATGAGAGCCAAATTGTGAACACTAAATTCAGTGCTCTGCTAACATTTTTTGGCAAGGAAATTTAAAAAAAGGGCTCTGTCTTGCCCTAAAGCACCTATCCAGGAATCATCATAGTGAATTTCACAGTGCTAGCACATTTTTCAAATTCTCCAGACCCTGACTAAGGGACCCATGTGGACTACCCTGATAAATGGCTGTAACTTGGGAACCAGTGAACATAACTGCATGAAACTTTGTGGTTATTCAAATGGCTTTGCTATTAGTGTACCCTGAAAATTTCATTAAGATATCTCAACAAACAAAAAAGTTGCCCTTCGAAGGTAGCCTCCCCCCTTAAAATGTTGGGATGCCTCACCGAGTACTTGTCTAGGCAAGGGCCCGGAGGATACCAACCAGGTCTTAAAGACCTTGATTGTCCTTTCTGGATACGTACTCCAGTTAGTACTCTCATATGGCATGCGTTTCTCACCGCTGTGGAAAGGGGTGGCTGCGCACTATCAGCGTTTCACATTTGTGCAGGTGCTGCTTAGCATTTGAGGTAGATGTAAAAGAGTGACTTTTTGACAAGCGCACAAATGGAGTCACCAATGGTATTCACCGTGTCCTACCTCAAAGAATTATGTGTGTGAAAACAAGGAGTTTTGTTTTTGTATCGTGCAGAAAATATGGGCAGAATCGTAGGACTACATTCATTAGCATTATTATGCGTGCAATTTGGCCTTCCAGCTTTCGCTATCTTCCCAAAAAGTTGTTCGGGAGTATAATGTGCCGTGAGCGTAATGTCAGCATTGTGTCTCGATATCGCACTGAGTGGTAGTTTGAGATGCTGTACGCAGTGATGTTGGACTTATTTTCACAGAGCTCGGCTGTGTTCATTATTGCCAGTTTTGTGAAGAATAGCAGGTTGTTCTGTTTTATGGCATCTATCACATTAACAAATGAGTGGAAAAGCGAATGGGGACTGCGCATGATGGCCCGGCAGTGCAACAAGGAATCATTGGTGAAAAGCACGTGGTGCTAAATGGTACAGGGAATTTCCACTTTCTTTTTCCGATGAAGGCGGAAATGTTGTAGGCCCGTGTGCTCAGATTTGGGTGCACAGTAAAGAACTCCAGGTGGTCGAAATTTCCCGAGCCCTCCACTACGGTGTGGTTTTGGGACGTTAAACCCCACATATCAATCAATCAATCAATCGTATTTCCACTTCCTTGACTAGCTTAAGTACCAGCTAAGGAGGGAAGGTGTTTGAGGTTCGGAAAGAGCGCCCCTCGATGACTCGGGTGCTCGGTGGCAGTGCGAGACGTTTTCCAGTGAAGAGACGCTTTATTGTAGCACTTGGGCATCTGCCCGGGTCCAAGCCCGAACCTCTTCTCTCATTTCAGCTTGTTTGCATGCTTTGAAGGCCCTATTGTCGCCAAAGGGTAAATGCATACCGCAACTATGTCTCAATTGGCCCAGTGGTCCCGTCCTTGTGGCATTCTCAAAGAGCACACGTGAAATCAACTTGAAACCAGATACTGCGCTTTGCCTGGCTCTTGCAAGATGCACTTTCCGGTCGGCTTTCCCCTGTTTGTCCCAAGCTCAGTGATTCCACTCCTGCGCCAAAGTGCGCCAAGTCAGATTTACTACGCTATCCTGATAATATTGCTACGATACTGATATCGGTGATATTCAGTGATATTGGTGATATCGGTGATATTAGTGATATTGGTGATATCGGTGATATTGCATCTCACCGTAATAATATCAACGGAAATTGCACCGGAGTAGGCCAAAGTCAGATTTGAGAGCGTCTATCACTGGTAATAGCTATGCCGGTGATAGTCA